CTTTGTTGGCCAAACCTGTCTACCCATGGTAGAGTTAAGCCGGCAACAGGGGCTGGGAGAGAGAGCGGTAGGGATTGACCAGGCTCCATCCCTGGCACCTGCATGGTTCCCCCTGGAATGTGCTTGAGTGCAGAGGCAGGACTAAGTCCTGAGTACCCCTGGGTGTGCCCCCAATAAAAAAAAAACAACAAAGAAGACCGATGACATCACCCTGTGATGCATGTGTGAGGGAAGATGAGGCCTGCTGTTGGCAGAGGGCGGTACGGTCAGACTCAGGGCAAGAGGCACAGCACGGGGCAACACCCCGGGATGGTGTGTGATTGCAGAGTGCCCAGAGCAGTGGAACTGTACCCCTTGAGCCCCAGAAGCCCACCCTTCCCTGTGTCCCAAGCCCATGTGCTGTTCTTTCTCTGTCCCCAAGCTCGACAACATTACCGAAAGTCTTACAAGCCTAATAACGACTTCTCTAGCTCCCAGTGGAGACCCGAGCTCTTTCCTCTCCACCCCGGGCTGAGGGAGCCTCCTCAGTGTTTGCTGATGCTCTTAGTTCACACAAACTATCATCACGAACGTGTGACATGGGGGTCACCCTTGGCTCCCTGTGTGCTGTCATCATCTTGGTAGCAGAAGGAGCCCAAGAGCTGTCCTGGTGACCTTGCTCCGAGGAGGCGGTCTGTGCCAGAGGCTGGGTGCTGTGGAACAGTCCCCCCTGCGTCCCCCCTCTCCGTTACCAGGTACTCGAGGAGAAGCAAGAGACTTAAGCGATAAGTCCTCAATAATGCCAGGAACTGAGAGGCTCCAGACTCGAGCTTCCACACGCACAGCGCAAGGAATGGCTAAGCTCTTTTTCCATCATTTCCCAAGCTAAGTGACGAATGAAAGATAAATAAATAGAGCTGCAACGAGTGAAAACCAAATTAGATTTGAGGTTTCTGCCCCTTCTTATTTAATAATAACTAATCCAAACAGTTTTCATTTGGGAGAGTAAGGAAGTGATACTATAAAAATAAATGCCTTTCTCTGGTGGCGCCCTTTGTCCAGGGGACCAGGGCCCGCCCCCCACCCCACCTCAGACCTGGGTGCGCTCTGTGAAGTGGCGACCCCGAGAAGCAACTGAAGCAAGACTTCAGCGGGAAGAGGCCAGTTCAGACCCCAGCACCCTTGGGGAGGAGGAGAAACTGGGGAAGGATAAGTCATTTAAAGCATTTAGCGCTGGACTCTCCATCCCAAATCATTCCTGGGTCTTTAAAAACATTATTTTTTGCTCTTTTTTTTGCTTTTGCTTTTTGGGTCACATCCTGCAATACATTGGGGTTCCTCCTGGCTCTACACACAGGAATTACTCATGGCAGTGCTTGGGGGACCGTATGGGATTCCAGGGATTGAACTCGGGTCAGCCACATGCAAGGCAAATGCCCTCCCTGCTGTATAGTCGCTCTTAACCCATTTTTCGCTCTTTGATAGGTAGGAATAGATTTATTTGTGACATTAATCACTATTGGTCTATGAAAATATCTTCTTGAGATGAAGGTTCTGTGATATGGTTGTGAGCCCATTTAAAATCCACCTATGGGGCTGGAGCGATAGCACAGCGGGTAGGGCATTTGCCTTACACACGGCCGACCCAGGTTCGATTCCCAGCATCCCATATGGTCCCCCGGGTACTTCCAGGAGTAATTCCTGAGTGCATGAGCCAGGAGTAACCCCTGAGCATCGCTGGGTGTGACCCAAAAAATGAAAACAAAAACAAAATAAAAAAATAAAATCCATCCAGCATGCCATTAAGCTAACCTGCAGGAAAGAACTCACGTGATTCCATCAGACTGGAAGAAGGAAAAGGCTTCAGATATAGGTTCTGTTTCAGCTTCCTCTCTTGCCTTTGCCTTCCCGCACAGCCAGGAACAGGCTCCTCAGCGCCTCTGGGCTTCTCGTTCTCAGCAGCTGTGGGGACCCGCTCCGAGGCTGGTGCTGTTAGCCCAGTGCACACTGGCTCCTAGGCAGTTACAGATTAAGGCATAGTGGAGTTTGGCTCCTAATTTTTTCTCTAAAGCTTTTTCTTGGAAGATGAAATGGTGGCAATTATTACCTTGAGAAAGGAGTGTTTTTGTTTCCTAATGGTAAAAACATAACCCCCAAATTTGTGCTTTTCAAATTGTGGTTAAATAATACATATCCCAAAGAATTCAAACATATTCTTTTATTCTTCATATTTTTTAAAATATGCTTCTCTCCCCCTGCTGAAGAAAACAGTCCTGTAGAATTAAATTATTTTAGTCAGTACAATTGATTAAACTAATTAATCTAACCGAATTATGAACAGAGGGGAAAAAATTCACCAATAGCATTAACAAATATTATTTAAATTTTCAGAGACTTTTCTAAATGCATAAAACCATCGTCTTTCTCGATGACTCAGTTAGAGGACAGTAGACAACTGGTGGATTGGGGGGTAGCTGCGCTAAGATTTGAGCCCACCATGCTGTAAGCACAGCCTCTTGCTTGTTCCTGTCATGCTGTTGCCCTCTGCGAGGTAGCAATGGCTGTAGTAAGAGTCGCTGGTAGATGTTGTTCACCATTAGCTCAGCTTCTGCTTGGTAAGAGCTGTGGTTTTAGGGTCCCCCCCCAAGCTCTGCTCCAGAGGCCCCAGGGCCCTGCCCTGTGATTTTTTGACAAAAAGTGGGTTCCAATAAGAGTCGAAGGATGTACAACTGTTGGGTCTGAACTGTCAGGGACCATCAGGGCCCTCACGGCTGCCCTTGGTAATGCTCCAGGGACCATGCGGTGCTGGGAATTACTCCATATTGGCCGCACCCAGGCCTGTGACCCACCCCCAGAGCCAGCATTCTGGCTCCAATACTGTAGTTTTGAATCTTTTAACTCCCACCATAACACTATCCTGTTGAATTTTTTTTTTAGCATGAGTTTTGAACTCCCAGAATGACCACCAACTGGGAACTCTTTGGTACTATTGCGGCAACATGGGAAGATGCCATTGTTGACAACATTGACGAGGAATACGATCGACTGGTTCAGCACCTCCATGAATGTGCGAGGAACGCCAAGAGAGAGATAGCCACAAAAAGTCGCCTATCTTCGAAAACTCTTGAGCTAATTCGCCAGCGTGGTTTGGCGCATGCCTCAGGCAACCGCAAGCTAACGTCCGAGCTTGCAAAGCAGTGCAGAGATGCGATCAAGGAAGACCTCAAAGAGAGAAGAGCAGAAGTACTGGTAGATGCGGCAGAAGCCGGGAAAAGTATTCGTAAGGTCCGCCTGTCCTTCGCCAACTATAAGACCAAGATGACTGCCCTCCGACGTCCTGATGGATCCATCACATCCTCCAGAACGGCAATGGAGAAGATTATCCATGACTTCTACTCAAATCTCTTCGATAGCCATGTCCACTTGCCAACATACCAAATTCCACAGGATGGGTATGTTGTTCCCAACGTTCTCCCCTCCGAAATCCGACACGCCATTTCGTTGGTAAAGAAACAAACAGCACCCAGCCCAGACAAGGTCAGACCTGAACACCTGAAGAACCTGCCATCAGTACTCATCAATACACTGGCTCGGCTCTTCACTCGCTACCTGTCTGAATGCAAGGTTCCGTCCCAATGGAAAACCAGCAGGACCGTACTACTGTTCAAGAAGGGAGACATCCATGACATTGGCAACTATCGCCCGATCTGCCTATTGTCTGTCATCTACAAGCTGTTCACTAGAGTCATCCTGAATAGGATTGGCAGAACATTAGATGAAGGACAACCATGCGAGCAAGCAGGGTTCCGCAAAGGATTCAGCACCATCGACCATATCCACACGATAACCAAGCTCATTGAGGTTTCTCGGGAGTTCAAGATGCCGCTCTGCTTAACGTTCATTGATTTAAAGAAGGCCTTTGATTCTGTTGAGACGGAAGTGGTCATTGAAGCCCTAGCCAATCAGGGCATTCAAGCCCAGTACATCAGGATCCTCCATGAGCTCTATTGCGGATTCACTACCAGGATCTCACCATTCTACAAAGAAGTGATCGTTGATGTCAAGAGAGGGGTGCGGCAGGGTGATACCATTTCACCAAAACTCTTCAGTGCCACCCTCGAGAACATCATGCGACGACTGGAATGGGAAGGAATGGGAGTGAAGGTAGATGGTCGGCAATTACACCACCTCCGCTTTGCTGATGACATTGTTTTAATAACACCAAACATCAGCCAAGCGGCACAAATGCTGGCCGACTTTGACCGTGAGTGTGGAAAGGTAGGACTACAGCTGAATCTTACGAAGACAATGTTTATGAGAAATAGCCTTGTTCCTGACGCCCCATTCGCTCTCAATGGAACGACCATCTCCGAATGCAACAGCTATGTCTACCTAGGTCGAGAGGTCAACATGAGAAATGACCTGGCACCCGAGCTGCGCAGGAGGAAGAGAGCGGCTTGGAACGCCTTCAAGAACGTCGAAGAAATAGCTAAGAGGACGAAGAACCTCTGGCTCCGGGCACATCTCTTTGATTCCACTGTTCTTCCTGCATTAACATATGCCTCAGAGACCTGGGCCCTACGTAAACAGGATGAGAACGCTATTCAGGTCTCCCAAAGAAGAATAGAAAGAGCTATGCTTGGAATATCACGTTTCACTCAAGTGAGAGAACGAATCCGGAGTTCTGACATCCGTCGACGATCAAGGATCAGGGACGCTGTCTCATTTGCCAAGGTGTCGAAAATCAGATGGGCTGGTCACGTAATGAGATTTAAAGAAGACCGTTGGACTAGAGCTGTTACTGATTGGATTCCACGGGATGTCAAAAGACCGCGTGGCCGCCCACCTACCAGATGGTCAGACTTCTTCGTCAAGATCATGAACGATCGGTTTGAGGCCCTTCGTGTTCCCAGAGCGAACAGATGCCATTGGGCTACACTAGCACGCGACAGGGACAAATGGAGACGTTACTGGCGCCCGCTCCAGCAAATCGACGACTAACGGGAAGTTAAGTGATTAAGAACATGAGTTTTGAGGACGGGTCTTAGAACTCTGAAGAATAAGGTGTGGGCACTAAGTTAAATCATCCTTATTTTCCCAATTGCTGGTAAGTGATGATTCCTGTCAGTGTTTGGGAGAAGTGAGCGGGGAGTCTGGGTGTCTGGCATCATGAGACACGAGAAGGCGGTAGGTTCTCTTGGCGACAGACGCCACTGTGGGTTTTGGAGACCTCTGCATGGGCATGGGCTGCTGTTGCATGCCTGTACAGGAAAGTTCGCATCACGAAATTCTCTTCTGAGGTGAACGGAATTCCAGGCTTGTTGTCAGTGCCAATCAGCACAACAAAACAAAGTCCCACTTCAAAAATGGTCTTGTGAGGGGTGATCACAGGACCGCTTGTGCGGGAGATGTGGCAGGAATCGGTAGATTGTGTGGGAGGTCAAGAAAATATCTTCAGAGGGAGGTGAAGGCTAGCAGTGACTGTTTGCTACTACTCTTCTACTTTCTCCAGAAATAATAAATAGAAAAGGAAAAGGTTGAGAGAACTTGATATAGTTTGGATGCCGCAAGATGCCATCAACATCCTGGAGCATCACTGCAGAGGGAAGAAAACGTTGTATGTGATGAGGGGTGTGACTCAAGTCTCTGTGTCTGAAGCTGAAAGTCATCTCCACCTACTGTTGTATCCTTCAAACACGATGTTGCTTTTTCTGAGATCACTTGAGGATTCCTGATTCTATCAAGAGCTACCAAAGCAGCCGAATTCCACTGTGCGTGGCTGCATTAACTTCCAGAAAGGAGCGTGCTATACACTTGACTTTTGTTTATCCCTGACCAGTGCAGTGGTCTCAGCATGGTGGTGACTGGTTCTGGAGGTCTTTGGCTGCCAGAGCACTGGTCGGGGTGGGGAGGAAAACTCAACCCGCTCCTCTCCAAGGGGCCCCAGTGAGGACAGCCAGGCGTGGGGGCAGGAGACACATGAAGGTACCAGCAGAGGAACAAAGGCACACAGGTCCCGGGGCTGAGATCTCCAAGCCTGCTTGGATCGGGGCTGAGCATCCTCCACCCAGATCCTTCATCTTCCAGTAGGCAGGGGTCACACCCACCAACTGGCCCCCTGGTGCTGTGTAATCCCACCAATGGCCAAGACTCAGAGACTATAAAACCCAGCTCCCGGAAGCGTGACATCTTATTATCTCATTCCTACTTTGGACAAACTGGCAGGCTACCGAGTGTAGCCTGCCCACACGGCAGAGTCTGGCAAACTCCCCATGGCGTACCCAATATGCCAAATACCAGTAACAATGATTGGTCTCATTCTCCTAAACAGCCTTGAATATGGCACTTTCTTAAAAATCTCAGGGCTAGGATGAAGAAGACGTTACTGGGGCCTGCTCGAGGCAGTTGACAAATAACAGGATGGTTGTGATTCGTGATTCGTGACCAGTGCAGACTTAATTTCTAGGTCTTGAAGCAACAGTGGAGCTTTCTGCTAGCAGTTTCCCCGAGACTGCCAAGAGGATGTAGCCTGCTCGGCCATGGGGTGCAAGAGATGAGCGGGGCCACCCGGGCTGTGCTTGAGGGGTCTCTGGGACCATGTCCAGTGAAGTTCAGGGACTGTAGGACAGCACCAAGCCTGCTCAGGGGAGCTACGGCTTGGGTGGGACTGTGACCATCCAAAGTCAGAACCTCAACCTCGGTACTGGTTCTGGGTGTGACATGTTGGGAATGGTAACAGTATTTCATGTATTTTCTTCTGTGTCCCAGCCATGTTTACAAACACACCTAGGTTTGCTTCTTTGAACGGTCCGAATTCTACTTACTCTGAACAGCAGAGTTTCCAGAGGCTCTGGGATGCTGCAGCTAGAAGTAGACAGTTCTGTCTGATACTGTCTTAGAAACAGGCAGTGCTTTGCTATGTCACAAAGGGCATGCCCATGACCACATTCTCAGGAGGGAAAGCAGGTGACCACGGCAACACTTGATCATGTCGTACTTAGAGGAGCCATTTCTTCGGCTTTATCTGAAGTTGCTCCACCAACAGCAGTCCTGTCTAGCCAGCAGAGGCGACTGGGCTGTATTGAGCTGCGTTACCACACTGTGGCAGATACAGCCAGACTGTCACAGTGGCTTAAAGGAAGCCAAGCCTTCTCCATGTGACTATGAGAGAGATTGTATTTGTAAAACTTTGTTTTTACTTGCAGAATAGGGTTGCATCCTGTCCAATGCAAGATCATATGGAGGTTGGGGACAGTGACAGATAAGAGAAAGGAAGAGGGCAATTTGTTGACAAGGACAACTCCTTAATTAATTAATTCACAATCATGATCACGATCACAATCATCCTGTTGTTCGTTGATTTCCTCAAGCAGGCACCAGTAATGTCTCCTTCTTCTTAGCCCTGAGATTTTAAAAGAGCCATTTCAATGCTTTTTCAGGATTAGGAGAATGAGACCCATCATTATTACTGGTATTTGGCATATTGAGTACGACACGAAAGTTTTCCAGACTCTGCTGTGTGGGCAGGATACTTTTGGTGCCTGCCAGGTTCTCCAAAGGAAAAAAATAAGATGTCGCATGGCCGCAAATGCAATGCGGCCGCGTGCTTCCGGGAGCTGGGTTTTATAGTCTCTGCATCTTGGCCATTGATGAGACCAACCTGGCTCTGTTGGCAGCTGGTGGGTGTGATGCCTACCTACTGGAAGATGAGGGGGGTCTGGGTGGAGAAGGCCTATTCCTAATCTGAGTAGGCTTAGAGACCTCAGCCCGGGACCTGCATGCCTGGGTTCCTCTGACAGTTAATTAATTAATTAATCAAAATTCACTTTTTTTGGAGTCACCATGAGATACATCTTATCAGGACATCTTTTCATGATATCTTATTATCTCATTCCTACTCTGGACAAACTTGCAGGCTATCGAATATAGCCTGCCCACAGGGCAGAGTCTGGCAAACTCCCCGTGGCGCACCAAATATGCCAAATACCAGTAACAATGATGGGTCTCATTCCCCTAAAAGAGCCTTGAATATAATCTCAGGGCTAGGATGAAAGAGACGTTACTGGGGCCTGCTCGAGGCAATTGACGAATAACAGGATGATGAATGAATGAATGAATGAACCATGAGATACACAGTTACAAAGCTGCTCACGGTCAGGTTTCGGTCATATAATGTCCCAACATCTATCCCTCCACAAGTGTACATTTCCCACCAGCAATAACTCCAATTTCCCTCCCACCTTCCCCCAATCCCCAGCCTGCATCTATGGCAGGCACTTCCCCACCCCCCCCTCTCTCTCAAAAGTACATGGAAAGGTGCTCAAAGGTAACTTCTACTTTCTCATATTTGGGAGCTGTTGACCTGTGTGCAGTAAATGAAGCCATGGTGACATTTACCAAGATTGCTCCGATGGAGAACAAATGGTTTCTTTGAGATCGGAAGCATTGCGCATGCATTCACAATGCTGAGGAACACCAACATGGGCCCTGTCTTCGTACTGTGTGGGTGGGTGGCGAGACCTTTGCCTTGGACCTTTCTTGTCAGCAATCTGCCAGGGACTCTCATTGCTGTGAAGATCTCGAGTGGCAAAAATAAAAAATGCTATTTTCTGTTTCATGTGCTATCTGCACAGTCTGATGTGATCTAAACTCTGCCCAGCCCATTCCGAGGCCCCCAGTCTCACCTGTGAGAGGGATAAACACTTGCCTCTTGCTGTCATCAGGGAATCTCTGTGTGGATTCTTTTCTCTGTGCAAAGCCAGATCTTCCTGACTACACAACGTCAGGTCTATGAACCTTAAATCGACTTGAAAACTTGGAACCACTGAAACATAAAGCAGTGTCTGGTTGTGTCATTGAAATCCCCAGGGGACTCCAAACAAGCAAAGCAGGAGAAGTCGAGAAGGCGTGTGACTAGGTTGGACTCCAGTGGGCAGGCTCAGCACCTTCTGTGGTTTTGTGCTTGATATTCTCAGCAACTCTTTCTTCTAGTCGTGCTCTTCATAGTTTCCCCTCTGATTTGAAGCTCAGACCCCTGACAGTGCGGAGGGGGGAAGCTATAGTGGTAAATCTTGTTCATTGCAGTATCTGCAAAGAGATAAACTGCCCTGGCATAAGAGGCCGGACTGTAGATCTTGTTAGAAGTCGCTTTGTGTGAAACTGATTTTCAGCTTTGCTGAGACTATTTGTCCGTGTCAGGATATGCGTCGTAGCACAGGGGCGGGCTCTGAAGAGCAAATCACAGCTACAGCCATTACAGTGAGCTAACCTGGGGTCAAGATGTGTAAATAAACATCCAGGTCCGTGGACTGGACCCAACCCTGAAGTGACTGAATGACATAAAGACTTGATTCAAGCCTTTTGAGTGGGATTGCAAAACCCTGCAGTTTGCAGAGGAGCGAAGGGAATATGGCAAACAGATCTTAGGAGTAAACAAAAAGGACCTGCTTCTGCCCACGATGTCCCACCGACCTCAGTCTGTTCACAGTTAACACTTAGCACATTGAATCAACACATGGTGTGTGGGGAAGAATAAAAAAAAAAGCACAATTAATATAGCAAGTCACAAATCTCTTTTTCAGGAAGGCTCGTGGATGAGCTCACTGGATGAAGGCTTATGGTGGGCAAACATCTATGTAATAATTATAAGGAAATATTCCTCAGCCAGTTATCCTGTGATTGAAAGGGTACCTAACTGCCCTTCCCATATACCCAGTTATCTTAGAAGTTGGATTGGAACCTGAATGGTATAACCTGGAACTGTCATACTGTTATAGTGTTTGGCTCTATTTAAAATATCAGCAGTAGTACTTCAAGGATTGAGAAGCAGGAAGAAAATTAATATGAACAGTTAAAAATATTTTTGGTAAAACAGCAATGGCTACTAGTTTGGGTTCTTTGCTCATTATTCTTCTTATTTTGTTTCTTCCGTTTAGTTATAAAAATAACTAAAATTACTTATTTGCCAACATGCTTTAAAGAGTTAGTAGGATTAAACGTACAGAAATATTTTTAAAGTCTAATAATGCAGGAAAGAGATGGTTTGGAAATTAGAAATTGAGCTCCCATTTGACCCAGCAATACCACTTCTGGGAATATATCCCAGAGACGCAAAAAAAATACAGTAGAAATAATATCTTCACTTGTATGTTTATTGCATCACTGTTTACAATAGCCAGAATCTGGAGAAAACCCAACTGCCTAAGAACAGATGACTGGCTAAAGAAACTTTGGCACATCTACACAATGGAACACTACGCGGGGGTATGGTGCCGCCAGCAGGTCAGTCTGTACCTGTGAGGCGAGTGCATCAGCAACATGATGGCGCCTTCAGACTTCCAGACACCCCAAAATTGCTGCTGTGCCTTTGGCCAGACCCCAAAAACTTGGGGCAAAGTTTACCAAGAAAATAAATGGCCAAAAGTTAGGTATGTGGGAAACACACCCACAAACCACCTCCGGCTATACAATTGGAGGCATGGCCTCTCTGGTGCCTGATTGAACTGCTTAGTGGCTATGATCCCAAAGACTCAGAAACAAATCTTGAAACCCAGCGGCTTTTGGCAGAAATGCGTCCGGTCCCTGCAGTAGGTTACCAGTGCTGGGCCAATCCAGGTGGGAATAGGTTTCGTGCCTTGGCCTGTTCCCCCTGGTGGCCTGGGGGCCGCCATCCTCCAGAGGCCTCTGAACAGTAAGATTTGGGCCTGCAGTGATGAGACACGCAGGGCCTCATGGGATGGGGGTAGAGCCAATCCTGTCGTCCCCACCCCAACGAGACCCCAAGACATCACCCACGAATGGCCTCTCTGGCTCCTAATCAAGCTGCTTAATGGTCATGATCCCAGAGACTCAGAAACAAATCTCGAAACCCAGCGGCTTTTGGCAGAAATGCGTCTGGACCCCACAGTAGGTTACCAGTGCTGGACCAACCCAGGTGGGAATAGGTTTCGTGCCTTGGCCTGTTCCCCCTGGCGGCCTGGGGGCCGCCATCCTCCAGAGACCGCTGGACAGTAAGGTTTGGGCCTGCAGTGACGAGACACACAGGGCCTCACTGGATGGGGGAAGAGCTGCTCCTGTCCTCCCCACCTCAACAAGACCCCAAGTCATCGCCCACGAATGGCCTCTCCAGCTCCTGATCAAGCTGCTTAACGGCCATGATCCCAGAGACTCAGAAAAAAAATTTTGAAACCCAGTGGCTTTTGGCAGAAATGCATCTGGACACCCCCCCCCCCCCCCCCCCCGCAGTAGGTTGCCAGGCCACACCAGGGGGTAAAGGGTGCTGTCCCTCCGCCTGCTCCCCCTTGGTGGCTCGGTGGCTGCCATCCTCCAGAGGCCATTGGACAGTCAGGCTTGGGCCTGCATTGAGGAGACATTTGGGGCCTCACGGGATGGGGGTGGAGCCAGTCCTGTCCTCCCCACCCCAATGAGTCCCCAAGACATCGCCCACGAATGGTCTTTCTGGCTCCTGATCAAGCTGCTTAATGGCCACGATCCCAGAGACTCAGGAGTAAATCTCGGAACCCAGCAGGTTTGTTAAAATCTTGGAATTTCAAAATCGTGCGGCCACTACTGCAGCCACGCGACATATGTTATTCATAACTGGCAACAAAACACAAATTGTCTACTGTTGCCTTTTCAGCAGATCCGAGTGTTAGGGTAAAATCTCAAATGATAATAGTGGGTCTGGTGTCGAAATATTGAATGTGATCAAAGTAGAAAGAGAGTAATGTGGAAATCACCTGCCCCACAGGTAGGGGGAGGGTGTGGGATGGGGTATACTGGGGTTGTTGGGGGGTGGAGAATGGGCACTGGTGAAGGTACGGGTGTTTCATTGTATGAATGAGACTTAGACCCGAAAGCTTTGCAACTGCTTTCATGGTGATTCAATAAATAAAATTATAAAAAATGAAAAAAAAAGTAAGGTGAAGTTCATGCAAAATTCAATCAGCTAATCAGTGGCTGAATAAACAGCTGTACTTCTACATAAAAAAATTAAAATAAATGGAACACTATGCAGCTGTTAGAAACGATGAAGTCATGAAATTTGCATATAAGTGGATCAACATTGAGGGTGTCATGTTAAGTGAAATGAGTCAGAGAGAGATGGACAGACATAGAAGGATTGCACTCATCTGTGGAATAGTGACAGAATGGGAGACTGACACTCAAGGATAGTAGAGATAAGGACCAGGAGGATTGCTCCAGGGCTTGGAAGCAGGCTTCACAGGCCAGGGGAAAAGGCAGCTCAGATAGAGAAGGGACCACAAAGTAAAGGATGCTTGGAGGACCCTCTCTGCATCCCGAAGGTGGACTATAGACTGAACATGATGGCCACTTACTACCTGTATTGCAAACCACAACACCCAAAGGGAGAGAGAGAGAGAGCAAAAGGGAATGCCCTGCCACAGAGGCAGGGGTTGGGGAGGAATGGGGGTGGTGGGAAGGATACTGGAAACATTGGTGGTGGAGAATGGGCAGTGGTGGAAGAATGGATACTCGATCATTGTATGATTGAAATGTAAGCATGAAAGTTGTAAGTCTGTAACTGTACCTTATTATGGTGATAGAGTAAAAAAAAGAGAGAGATGGTTTGGGACAAAAAAGCAGTTTAACAAGTATTTTGTATTTTAATATTTTTGCCTGCAACTGATGAAACAACACACATTTCCACAATCCTGATAGGCTCTTTACAAAACATTTGTCACAGAAAGGTGATTTTGTGGTTTTTTTTTATTGAGTAATATTCTTAATAACTTTTTCCCAAATTACTCTCCAACTTTCCAAGGTTTAGTCTCTCGACTCAGACATTCACAGGCCCTATTGGGCTGTATTCTAGGTTTCAGTCTGATATCCCAAAGTAAAGAAAGAGTTCTGCCAACCTTCCAAGTCTGCGCACTCACTGCACAGGGTGTCTTAACCTGAAACGAGAGAGCAGTGGATAGGATGTGCCCTATGCATATGACACACATCACATTTCAAAGATATAGATCAAGAAAATAATACAAAACATCTTAATTTTGCAATATGTATATGGTGAAAGACTAGTATTGTGAATATGTTTTAATAATAAAAATATCCTTAGCATTTTTTGCATGTTCCTTTACTACCCTAAGGTATCTATCAGAAAGTTGAAAATGTGGCTGACATGGTATTTCCGTTGGAAGTACTGTGAACCTCGGCTCTGTTTCAATGAGTTCCAAGAGATGCAAAGTGAAATTTGGAAGGGCCTGCCTCCATAGGTCAAAATTTCCAAACCTTCTCTCCTCTGACCTCTTGTCAGTGAAAATTCCTAGAACTGAGATCTATAAGTTATCCCCAGAGTCACAGCTTCGAATTCTGTTTGGAGGCGGAAATTCCCCACCCCGGGTCATCCATCGGCCTCCTCCTGCGGACAGGCTGTGTGTCAACTGTCTGGCCGTGGGGGGCCACCCATCCTCTGTCTCCCATCCCCTGTCTCCCTGCACATATTTGCTGCCGTGGCAGCTCACCAGGCCTGAGCAGCCGGCATCAGGGTGTCAAGGGGCTAGTTAAGATGGGTTGCGGGCATCGCAGCCAGAAGGTCCAACTCTCCACACCACCATTCCTGGTTTCTCAGCCCTGTTCAGGAACATCTCGGGAAGTTGTTTCTAAGACCAAAAACACTCACTCAGCTCTCTCTAGGGAGCCCCTGCAGTCCCTGCATCATGTCTCGGCTCCTGTCTGGAAGGGAACAGCCTGCCTCCACCAGCCATCCCAACAGAGAGAGAGAGAGGTGAAGTGTAGGGGGAGGAGAGGCGGGGCAGGGGTGCTGGCTGGGGAAGCAGGGTGGAGACTGGAGGCTGAACTCTTCCGTGGGAGAAATGGTGGGCTGTGGCCTGTGTTCATGGCCGTGTTCAGTGACCGCCTTCAAAAGGATGGAGCTTCAAGTGTCACCATTCACCCGGCGGGACCCCTCCTTCTGAGGTCACCTTGTTAGAGGTTCCACATTTCCTTAGGCTCCCTTTTGTATTCAAAAAGGAGAGAGTAAAAGGGAAATGGCCATAGAGGCAGGCGGTGGCTTGGGGGTGGCCTGAGGGACACTGGGACCTTGGTGGTGGGAAATGCGCACTGTTGGAGGGATGGGTGTTCCATCACTGTATG